TTTTTGGAAAAACTTTGAGAGCTTCTTACTGAAAGGAAACTACCTATTTTTAGTATTTGCAGGTTAGGGTTCAATTTTATGTCCACAAGTCAGAAAGCAGCATTTTGTTGAAATTCACATTCCTGCACCAAGTTCAGTGTAGTAGCTGGGTGAAGCGGTCAAAGGATACAGTGTACAGGAGCCGAGGGGGCTGGCAAGGCCAACCAAAGACACATTATGACACAGTGAAGCTTCAATGGGACCTCTCAAGACAATTGATGGCAAAATGGAGGTGAGTACCAATCACCAAAAACAGGCATACAAGTCCAGAGCACAACTAATGGGCATCTTGAGTCTATACCCTACACACATAAAGGAAGCATATTCATCATGAAGGAAAGCAGATTAGGGTGTAGTTACATACACCAGACACATGTACCAGACATATGTTCTTTTCCTACTAGGAGAGATAGGACTAACCTGGGGCATATGTATACTGTATTCAAATTCACACAGTTAATATTACATTAACCAAGAAAGTGTCTAAGATTCTGGATCCATTCATGGAAATAAAGACGGAGTGTACCATATTGTCTAGTACTGTTCAGAGGTGTTATCTCTTGAGAAGAGTTTGATGTTATGCACTTGTTTACTGTCAGAATGTGATATCAAGCTCCTTTCCTAAGTGATATAACAAATGACACTGAAGTATATTCTAGAGATATGTATATAATAGAACTCCAGCAGGCATTCTGGAAGTGGGAAGTGCAGCACTACACTGAAGGATGGGTGGGAATGTTGCAGTGTGGTATCCACATACTTTTGACAAAACAGTTTTTGAGTGCTGGTGAATGTGTTTATATTTTTTGGGGGTCACCTTATCTTGGTGGAAACAGCTGAAGCAGTTAAAAGGAAAGAAAGAAAAAACTCCAGCAGGAAACAACAATTTTTTTTTTTTTGTCATACCAGTTAAGCCTAGAAGATCAACAACCCAGAAACAAAAAATATACTACATATGTATATTATGCCACTGTACAAGTGTTTAGTTTCAGAAAATGTGTTTAAATATTATCTAGAAAACAACTACAGATAAAGAAAAAGGCCAGCAATTTTTCATGATGATAATACTCTACCTAACTACTAAAAATTATAACAAGGAATGATGGCAAGAAAAAAAAATCATTTTAAAAACAATGAACTCTAAGCAAAATATTGCAAAAGCTTGAGAAATGAAAGCCTTTAAGTACAATTACATTGTATTATGATATAAAGGAGATAAGCTCAAAGTAGGCTAAACATTAAATTTAGTACTGTACACTTAAATTACTAACTTTAAATATATTGGTTTAAAATTACCTAAAAGTTTTAATATAATCAGCCACTTGTTCTGGGGATGTAATAAAAGCAACATAATCAACAATTCTTCTGTTGACAATGTCGCCAAACATTGCCTTCAAGATCTGACGTAAAAATAACATTATTCGTCTTCTAAACCACTGGTCTTTGCTTCTCAGATCAAATACTTCGTCCATCAGAAGTAAGAGATACGTAATGGAATATTTTCATCGCCTAAAAGATATTCACTTATTAACACGTTGATAACAATGCAACTCAAATCACGGTTAGTAGATAGAGTTACACTGTGATATATAGTAATTTCTGAAAATCACATCTAAAGTATTTTTCCTTTTAGTTTTACTGAGACCTGACACATTATCTCTTAATTGCTGGTGGAAAAGACAATCACATTTTAAAAAGATATCTTGATGATGATACTTTGGTCATTCCTAAACCAATATTCAGCTAAAAACTTGACTGGCATTACACCACATAAGTGCCTTTCATATACGTACAGTATGAGGTACTTTTAGAGAGGATTGGAAGTCAAAATTAAAATACGTATAGATAAGAAAAATTAAGATTTTTTTCTGATTCACATGTTGGAATGGCACCTGGAGTTCCTAAATCACTTTGGTAACAATTAACATTTTCTATGACTTTGTGTAATGAACTCATAACACTAATTCCTTTTCAATCAGGAATGGCATATCCTGAAAAAGCTTATCAATGCTCTAATTAATATTGTGTAATATTTCTTAAAAATGATATATGACACAGCAATGCCCAAGTAAAATTAAATTTTTGTGTTATGTCTATAGCTTTATGAGATTCATTATATATTTTTCCACTTCATGAATAGCTGTGGTCACTAACAACAATAATTTTTCTGGAAAAACAAAAAAATCATATTCAACACGAGTTCACAGACAAACCACAGAATGGGTGGGGTAGTCTGCAATCGTGTCATTACGATTTCATGAGTCATGGCACTAAATCTTTGTGCCTGGAGAACAAGAGTCAATCAGATTTGAGGTAAGAGAAGGTAGCTCCTTGAACTACCGCATTTTCCAGCATATAAAGTGCAAGAGCATATAAGGCGTACAAGACTGTTTCCAAGCAGTTGTATCGTAACATTAGTAAGCAACTGCTAAAATGTAACCCAAAGCTTACTCTAGACCCTGACCTTGAGCATGTAAGGCACAGGGTGATTTTCCAAAACCTTTTGTGGGGAAAAAAACATGCCTTTTATGCCAGAAAATATGGTAACTCCTTTTATCAAAAGCCCTTCAGTAGCATCAAGGTATGACCCTTAAAAGATGATACAGTAGACCCTCAGCTAACGATGGCATCAGCTAATGTTAAATACAGCTAACGATACATTTAACGCAAAAATTTTGCCTTGGCTAACACTAAAAAACTCACCCAACGCGATTCGTTCGAGACACATCCACGTGTGGCCTGAGCGCGCCTCAGTTGTCCAGTGGGTGCCAGTGTTTACAAGCCAGCCAGTGCGGTCGCATCCACGCATACAATCGGAACATTTCATATTATCACAGCGTTTTTAGTGATTGTACCTGCAAAATAAGTCACCATGGGCCCCAAGAAAGCTTCTAGTGCCAGCCCTGTGATATAAAGGGTGAGAATTAGTATGGAAATTAAGAAAGATTTTGAAGGGGTTTGGGGCTAACCCTGAGACGCCTATGCCAGTTGTGGAATCCATTGTGCCTACTTCAAAGATTAAGGAAATGTGTGCAAAGTGTGCTGAACTGCAAACCTTTATGGATGAAAATCACCCTAACACAGCTACTGCAAGCTATGCTGGCGACTATTACAATGACAATGTTGTGGCCCATTTTAGGCAAATCTTAAAGGAACGGGAGGTACAGACCTCTATAGACAGATTTGTTGTGTGACAGAGGTCCAGTGACTCAAGCTGGTCCTAGTGGCATTAAAAGAAGGGAAGTAACCCTGGAAAAGGACTTGATATCTCAAGTCCTAATGGAAGGGGATTCCCCTTCTAAACATTAACAACTTCCACGCTCTCCCCTCCTCCCATCCCATCAATCATCACCAGATCTTCAGTAAAGGTAAGTGTCAGTTTGTGTGTATTAAAATTAATATTTCATGTGGTAAAAATTTTTTTTTTTCATACTTTGGGGTGTCTTGCACGGATTAATTTTATTTACATTATTTCTTATGGAGAAAATTAATTCAGCTAACGATAATTTCAGCTAATGATAAGCTTTCAGGAACGGATTAATATAGTTAGCTGAGGGTCCACTGTATAGTACTAGTGAACAGGAAGAAGAACTAAGTGGAAAAAAAAAAAACTGAAGCTTACACAAACACATAACTAAATTATGATTTTCAATTTTTAAATATATCTGAAGACATTGTTGGAGTTTAAAATGGAGAGCGAGAGTAGGAAATTTCATTAAAATAAACATAATAAACCCTCAAAATTACTCAGTAAATAGTTTTGAAAATCATTTGCTTGCTACCTTTCCAACATACTGTACCTCAAGATCTAATGATCCTCTATGTGCATAATCAGCACTGGCAGTGAGTCTAGGATGTGTTGGCTTCACGAAGCGCCTATAAATACCATCCACCATGCCATCTACAGTGTTGAGAACTGTGTCTGGCATTGATCGCACAGCTTTGCTCATGCTGTGCACACCCAACTTCAATGGAGCGACTAAATTGTCTTCAACCTGGAGACACAAGAAAAAATCTTATATGGTACTGTTTTTGTATTGTTTTAAAATTTAAAACTTTTTAAAATTAGCTCAACCCCCTTTCAATTTAAATTTAAAATTTTTGGGTGGGAGAGGCCGACTTGTTGAAAAAAAAAAAAAAAAAATTGTGTATTTTCCCGAATAAACAGTGACGATGTTAAAATTTTAAAGCCTGTTTTTTTGAAATTTTATTTTTTAAAGGAAAAAATTTAAATAAAAAGTACCAATATGCCAACCTAAAGTTGATTTTTTAAGCATAAAAAAAAACTCCAAAAAAGGTAGACTAATATGCCGGCAAAAAAAAGTTGCTGATACCTTTGTGAGCTCCAAATTTTTTCAAATCCAGAGCCCGGGCCCTTGGGGCCCGGGAAATCGTCTACGTTCTTTCTCGTCAGCCAGGCTGCAAATTTGGTGGGGGCCTGCTGACTTAAATATTAAAAAAAGGGGCCTGGTTGATCTGGCACCCTTTAAAGATACTTGTCCATTTTCCCTCTTGAGAACTTCTACTTTTGCCCAGCAGTGATTCTGAAATTTTCTGGTAATATGCGAATAGTCTGGGGCCTGGACATTGATACGGGGTTTTTCCTTTTTTGTCCCATGGTATCCCTTCTTGTTTTTTTTTTTTTTTTTTTTTTTAAAACAAGTGGGCCCGCCCCCCACTGAGGCGGGGTGACCCAAAAAGAAAAAAATCCCCCCAAAAAGGGAAAAATTTTTCATCATCATTCAACACTTTCCCCCAAAACTCACACTTTAAACCCCTGCTTTTTGCGGGGCCAGAATACAACAGTTTTTAAAACATATATGAATAAAGATAAAAATTTAAAACAACAATCCCCCCAAACTGCCAATATCTCAAAACCCCCCCTTTAACCCCTTTTTGGGGGGAAATTTTAAAAAAAAATGCAGTATAATGTGATCCTTTATTGACAAAGTTTTTTCACCCACCCAGTGGCTTTTTCAAATCAACAGGGTTTTACCTGGGGTTTGGGAAAGGGACAAAAGTATTTATAGTCAGTTCAGAAAGTTTTATCAGGTGGAGAAAGTGCATCTGATGATTTTACCCGGGGGGGGTTATAGATTTGGGTAAAACTTGGGAGGGTATTGGGCAAGTTTTGAGTAGACCTTCGGGCCCCGTGGGGTTTTTATGTTTTTATGTGGGGAAAATGGGTGAAGAAGTTTCTTGGCGGGGTTCAGCCAAGGGAAAATTCTTCAACGCTATCCCACATAAAACCCTAGAACACTGCAGAAGGTCTACTTTACAACTTGTCCAAAAACCCCTGCCAAGCTACCCAAGACTCTATAAAACCCCAAAACCCGGGGAGATCATCAAAATTCAGGGATTCTCCCCCTGACCTCAAAATTTTTTGAACTTTACTATAAATACTTCGTACCTTCCAACCCCAGGAGATCCGTTTTGTGACTTGAAAAAAACCCAAAGGGGTGGGTGAAAAAGTTTTTTTTTCCCCCCCCAAAAAAGGTCCATTTTACTGCCCTTTGTGGTTTTTATTTTCCTTGTGTCCCGGTATTTTATAACCCTTTATTTCCAACCCCCTTTTAGGGGCCGTCCCCTAGAAACTACGGCTTTTCGGTGAGTGTCCAAAACCCAAATCATGCCAAAATTCTTTGCGCCGTCAAAATTTTGCGGGGAAAACGCTCATAGGCCTACATGTTAGAGAAAAGGGTCTTTTGGGCCCTGGGGGTGGCCGTAAAAAAAAAAATCTTGGCGCCGCATAGCATTGTGGGGAAAGGGCCCGCTCAGTCACCCCTTTTTCCTTTGGGCCCCTTCCCCAAATCGCTCTCCCCCAAACACCGGAAAATTGGGACTCCCTTTCCTGTCTGATAGTTCTGACACTGATGAAATTTCTAATGAAGATGAATTTTTACGGCTTTTTATAAGTTAGTGACCCAAAAAAATGACCAGGATATCGTTTAAAAGTGCAGAAAACCCCCACTGATTTGAAAACCCTTTAACCTTTTGGGTGGCACTCGGAAATCACGGTCAGGTGGGTTTCCCAAACGAAAAGAAAACAAAAATTTTTTGCGGGCCAGGCCTCGGGCTTCAGTAATGAAAGTTTATTCTGGGCGTGGAATTGTGATTTTTTTGCGCCCCCCGACATTGGAGAATGAAGTGAGGAAACATATTCACCAGGGGGAAACGTTTGGTAAAAGTTCGCCGCCCCCATGCGCTTTGGGGAGGTACCCTATGCTGTGCCCAGGGGACGGGGGACATCCCGGGGTCCCTCCCCTGGCCCTTTCACCCCTTTTTTTGGGAGTGAAAATTTAGGATGATTTTGGCTACACTTGGCATGGATTGGGGCCCCAGGCATCATGGTGGTGTTTGGTCTGGGGGTGGTAGTGGCACCACCATGAGTGAATTCCCCCATGCCACGGGGGGGACCCACCTGCTGACTCGTTTAGTTCAAGGACAAAGCGGAGCGTCAGCCACCAGCCCGCCACAACCACAACCAACCCGTACAACCAGCCTATGATGTCCAGTATCCACCACAAAACCGTATGTGGGATTGGCAGCAAAATCTCAATTTTGTTCCAAAGCCTCACCACTTTGATGACCCTCAAAGTGGAATTCTACCTACTTGTCCCCTTGGAACCACGGCCAATGAACTGGAATTCTTTGAATTATTCTTTGACCAGCCATTGATGGAAATTATTGCCAGGGAAAGTAATAAGTATTTTCAGTACACCATGGCAAATATGATCTTATCACCACAGTCAAGACTACACAGGTGGAAAGAGACGACTGTTGCAGAAATGTATTTGCTTTTTGCAACAATAATGCTTATGCCTCACGTCTATAAGCATAATATAAAAGCATACTGGTCCACAGATCGGCTAATTTCTACCCCGGTCTTCAGTGAAATAATACCAGTGAACAGGTTTATCTTACTCTTATGTATGTTGCACTTCTCTGACAAAACCAGGCCTGACAGAAGTGACAGGTTATACAAGATTAGAAATGTTTTCATGTATCTCAAACAAAAGTTCAGGATATACTTTTATCCATTCAAGAATCTTATAATTGACGAGTCTTTGATTTTGTTCAAAGGTAGACTGTCATTCAAGCAGTATATACCGAGCAAGAGGAACCGCTTTGGTATAAAATTGTTTGTACTCTGTGATTGTGACAGTGGCCTGGTGTTGGATATTGTTGTATACACGGGTAGTAAAACATTGAAAGATACCAAGATGTTATTGGGTATCTCAGGTGACGTAGTGAGAAACATGATGGCACCTTATCTTGGAAAGGGCCATACATTATATACCGATAACTGGTACACAAGCCCATTACTCAGTGATTTCATGCGAGTGAACAAGACAGATGTGTGTGGCACAGTGCGTTCTAATCGTAAACATATGCCCAGGCTCAATGCGGGTTTTCGTGGTGATGACGTGCAGTTTTTACTGCCAATGACATCATGGCATTATGGTGGCATACAAACGGATAAAAACATAAGAACTAAAAACAAGGAAATGCAGAAGGCCTACTGGCCCATCGGGGCAGCCAAGCCCCTCCCGGCTTAAGCCAATGCCCCCCAACCCTAGTCGGGTCGGTCACATTGTAAAGGGGAGGAACAGGCAACCGACCCTTAGCACAAGCTATCAGGTCTAACTCCACCCCCCCACATTTACTCATGTTTTTACCAACCTATTTTTAAGCTACACAACTTTGGGGCCTCTAAACGGTATTGGGTTTGTTCCACTCACCCAAACTCTTTTTCCAAACCAGTATTTTCCTAACCCTCCGAATCTAAATTTTTTTCCAAAATTTAAAACCATTGCTGCGATCCTGTTAGGAGATATTATCAGCACATTTTTACACCCTTTTTATTTTTTCCCTGTTTCCATTAAAAACCTCAATCATATCCCCCCCCAAATTCTACGTCTTTCTAGAGAGTGCATTTTTCAGGCCCTTATCTACCCATGGGGAGGTTTCGATACATGGGATCATTTTTGTCATCCCCCTTTTGTACATTTTCCAGAATTTTTATCCATTCGTAATACGGTGACCAAAATTTTGCACAAATCTAAATGAGGCTAAACCCAAGGGTGTAAGAGTTGAAGAAAAACCGAGGGCCCTATTATTTATGTTCTTTAAAATGAAGCCAAGGATTTTATTATTTATTTCAACACTTTGCACTGTTTTCTTGGTTTTAGATTACTGCAACCAGAACCCTAAACTTTTCGCAATCCGTAATATTAAATCTACATTATTTAGTTTATATTGGCAGGGGTTTTGTCCTTCCAACATTTAGAACTTTGATTTTCTATATAAATGATCTGCCACTTCCCCCGACCACTGCTCAGTCTATTCAAATCTTCCTGGGGTGTCGAAGTCCCCGTCAGAAAGAATTCGACGGCCTATTTTGGGTCATCGCAAACTTGCCGATGTCGCTCTTTTTTGCCCTCATCTATTCGTTTATGAGATTGTGAAAAGCAGGGGCCCAACACTGACCCCTGTGGAACACCGTGGACGCTTCCCCACCTGATTTTCTCCCCATTTATGCAAATCTCTGCTCCCCTATTTCAACCATGCCTCTACCAGGAAAAAAAATTTCTCCCCCCATTCCTGTGCTTTAATTTTTTCCTCAATGTCTCTGAGGGGGCCCTGTCAAAAGCCTTACTAAAGTCCAATACACATATCATATTCGTTCCAGATCTACCTCCTCAAATACCTTAGTGAAAAAATTTAAAAAATCGAAAGGCGGAACGCCCCTTTGTAAAACCATGCTGAATTCTTTGATTAATTTATGCTTTTCAAGGGGCTACAAACCCTGGGAATTATTGATTCCAAAAATTTTCCCACTAGGGGGTTTGGCTTTTTGGGTCATAGTTCAAAGCAAAGGCCCCTGCCCCTGTTTTGAAAATAGGTTCACATTTGCCTTTTTTTCCACTTATCTGGCACCATGCCATTTTTAGTGATTGTTGAAAAGATTCCAAAGGTGTGAAAAAGCTCCTTT